AAAAAAGTTGTCAAAAGAAAAATTATTAAAAAAATGGGCGACTTAACAGCACCGTTTTAAACTTAGACATCCACATTTTCAATAGCTTTTATGAATATTTCCAAATATTTACCGTTCTCTTACGTTTATATATTATTTGAATCAATACAAAGTATTTATATTTTTTTACGCCTTTCATTAAAAAATAATAATTTAACACACATAAATATATTTATTTTATATTCCTATTTATTTATTTTTGAAAATATAAAAATTTATTCTTTTATAACGATTTTATCATTAATCAATATAAATGTGCCGTTACTTTAAAAAAAAAACGGACACCTTCTTCAGGTACAACGAAATGTATAAGGAGTATCTAATCTAACGTATAAAATGAGAATTTAAAGGTTTTCGAGATCTCATATATAAACAAAAAGTACTGATCATTTCCCATAAACTTTTAGATAAGTCATGGACGAAACTTCATCCGACTCTTTTCAGTCTTCACACGAGTCTGCTTCCTATTCATCTAACTCTTCACACGAGTCTGCTTCCCATTCATCTCAGTCTTCACACGAGTATGCTTCTCAGTCTTCCGACGAGTATGTTTCCTCTTCATCAGATGGTCTGGAATTTGAACCAAAGAATGCATTGCCAACATCTGATAGAAAAAATGTTAAGCGGAAATTGTCGAGTTCCTCATCGGAAAGCGATGGAGGAGGGTCAAGTAGAAGACTGAACAAAGTGGAAGATGCAGACGGCGATGATGATGGCCCTGTGAGATACCGCAGAGGGAAACAGGTAAAGATAGAAGAATCTTTGTGTGTGTGTGGTATTTGCATGGATGCCATACCTGATGAAAAGAAGTTCAGGATCCAAAACTGTTCTCACATCTTTTGCAATGGCTGCATCACAAGACATGTTGCTGCAAAGATTGAGGAGAATAGATCAGTGGTGCAATGCCCAAACCCTAATTGCAAGGAGGGTATAGAGCTTGAGCATTGTGGTTCGATTATCCCTAAAGAAGTGTTCGATAAATGGGGAGATATTCTTTGTGAGAATCTAGTGGTTGAAGCAGAAAAGTTTTTCTGTCCTTTTAAGGACTGTTCAGCTATGTTGATGCGTGATGGTGAAGAAGTTGTGACTTCATCAGAGTGTCCACATTGCCACAGACTGTTCTGCGCACAGTGCAGGGTTTCGTGGCATGCAGGAATGGACTGTGAGGAGTTTCAGAGGTCGAAAAGAGAGATAGGAGAGAATGGAGACTCGATGGTGACGAAGCTTGCAAAGAAGAAAGGTTGGAGAAAATGTCCAAATTGCAGTTTTTATGTAGAAAGAATTGCAGGATGCTCACTTATAACTTGCAGGTTTGTTATGTATATATTTCTAACTAGTATTTTTTTTATTCATTAATATAATTTCGAATGGGTTGATTAGATTAATATCTTATTTAATTTGAATAGAACAAACTATTTGAATTATGTGAGCATTTTATGTGTTGGTTCACTTGTTTTGCAGATGTAATCATAAATTTTGCTATGATTGTGGATCGTCTTGGAACAATAATGAGCACTATTCATGCCGATCTAAATAAGAATTGCAAAAACATTGTTATGGTGTTATTTTATAGGTATTTATCAAATATAAAGACTGTATTTTCTTTCCATTTAATTTGTAATTACATGCACTATAAATTTGTTATTTGAATCATTTGATTATTTGTTGATAAATTTCAATTTAGATTCGATTTTCATTCCTATTTGTTTGTATCTATGTGAGTATTGTTTGTGTCGTGGAGAGGTAACTGAGGCAGAAATGAATTACATGGAAATGAGATTCAATGATATAACAGGATCAATTCTCATAGAATCGATTATTTTTTTTTATTTGTATTGGGAATATGTGGTGAAACCAAATGAAAAAAAGTGTGGAAAGTTGGGATAACTATTAATGAGTGGGTGTGTTGGAGAGAAGCACGGCATAGTGGCATAGTGGCATAGTGGATTGGAATGATGACTTTCGTGTCTCTATTTCCATTTATTGTTTTGTTTAAATACTTATTTTTAAAAGTAAACTCAAACTAACCAATAAAATAATATTTTTAAACTTATGTTAAATTATTAAGTTTATAAAAACTCTTTTTTAAAGGATGGAAGGAAGAGATTTATGTTCGACTATTGACTTAATAAGAATATTGAGTTTTATTTTAAAATATATGATTTTAAGGATTAAATATATTTTAGTTTTTAAATTTAAATATAAAATTGAAATTCTTATTAACTTGTACCACGCTGACTCTTGATCACGCATCACCGCCTACACAGCACTACGACGACTCCGATTCTACCGTACTTTAGGCGATTGCGGTTCTGCTATCATCTCGACTCCGGTCTGTACGGTCTGCTGTGTGCTGTCTACTCCCCGCATTGCAGTTAAATACCCGTCCTGTGTATTCCAAAGCTTATATTCGAGATTTAGTGTCAATTTTTCACCCCCTACATAGTCGGAGTTGCTTTTGGTCATGTTCGTACCGTTTCCAAATTTATCGTTCGTCTTAATAATTTTAGTTACTACAAGTTTATTGTGCCGGCATTTTATTTTTACACATATTTTTCTGATCTAACTTCTAGAGGACTTTCGAACTGTGTCACTCGTCAGACGCTATTAACGTCCTTAAATCCAGATGTCCGCCCCCAATGAGCTTTATCTTCTTTAACAAACACAATCTATTCTAAAACACAAATACGCAGGCGTATCTACAGCGCATCCTTGCCGCGCTGTCTAGCGTGCTGTGTGACCTGCATAACAATAAGTTACAATAGTTTTGATAATTGTTGCAAACCTTTTATTTGGTACATGGCAATACGGCGTATGATCGAACAATTGGTTCTCGCCTATAGTGTCTTAGCCCTCTTGTGTGGAGCGGCTCTACGTAACTCAAACCCCACATAACACGTTTCCACATGTGCGTATAATGGATTAAGGAACTCGCTCATGTAGTCGTATGCATTAATGACTACGATATATACCTGACAGACTACTATATTATTATATTAAGTTTTAAGGTTAAAAATATTTGAATAATGTTAGATTTTTTATTTTTTTATTTTAAATTAAAATTAAAAATTATTAAAATATTCTTGTGTTTAAATAATATTTTTTATAAATAATAATTTTTTATTAATTAAAATTTAATATACTTTAAGATGTTACATAAGTTAGTATATATATAATCTATATATATATAACTATATATGCCGTTATTCATTACGGGCCTGTTTTTACAGTTGGTACATTTAGCAATGTGTACCGATTTAGTAACAAAAATATCCTTATCTTCATGATTCTAATTTTAAGGTATAGGGATTTTAATATTTTCATTCTCAAAACTAAAAAAAAAAAGAAACCCCCCAAACCCTTACTCACCATCTCTCATTCCTCTCAACCCTTTCTCTTTCCTCTTTCATCTTCCTTTCTCACTCCAATCTTTTTCTCTGTCATCTCCTAACTGTAGCCCCAATTGATAAAAATCAGAAACACTTGTCTTTAACAATCTTACAAAAAAATGAATTTTATAATGAGTTTTTCAATCTTATAATGCTTCTTAGCTGCTTTTGCAGTTCCATCTCGAACTTTTATCATACCATATTTTGTCATCAGCGAATCTCAGGAATTGGTAATTGACTTGGAAAAATCTAAGAAATACCTCCGGTTAAACAATTTCTTACCAAAAAAGCGGATTTTATATGAGTTTTTATTTTATAATTTTTGTCTTATCTAATTTTATCTAATTTTCACAAGCATAATGACATCAAAGGAATTTGTAATTGGCCTGGAAAAAAACCAGAAACACTCAGTTGTTAAACAACACATCCGAAAGAATTGGTAATGAACCTTTTGCCTTGAGGGTGAATATGTCATGAACTCCAACTCTTTACAAAGCAAATTTTTTAAAGGCCAAGTGTTTTTCTGATTTTTTCAATTGGGGCTACATAGGGATGGGGACAAAGAGACGCAAGGTGGAAGTGCAGCGAGATGAAAGAGAAGGATTGAGAGATGAGAGGACGTGTGAGTAAGGCACTGGTGTGGGTTTTTCTTTTTTTTTTTTAAGTTTTCTGAAGAATGAAATCATTAAAACCCCTAACCTTAAAACTTGGAATCCATAATATATAAGGATATTTTTGTCTATTAAAACCCGTATACATTGCTTAAATGTAACCAACTGAAAAACAGGCGTACGCGCGTTAGCAACCACACACTATATATTATATATATATATATATATATATATATATTATATATCTATCTATATAACTATATTATATATATATAATATATATATATATATGAATTTTGCATATGCTAATATGATTTGCTATGGAT